TCTACTGACATCCTTTAGTGGGCAAGGAGAGATTCTAAATACGAAAAGAAGTAAGCACAGACATGCCTGATGACATTTTAGAGTATAGCATGTATCATACAATCCACAGTTCAAAATATACACAGTTTCTGAGGTTAAATGGAGTTGCACAGAAGAAATTACAAGACAGATGTATGGCACGTATCATACAGCAGAGTGCAGTGTTAATACAGTTTCCGTTGTGATCTGTTCTGTTTCCAGGCTTTAAATTGTTAGGGTTAAGGATAGGCAAATAGAGTAAGAAAAAAACGAAAAGCAGCCTGATCTGTTTCTTCTCTGTTGAGCCAAACCTCTTGTGATGCCTGTAAATGTGGTACGTAGGCATTTGTGAGCCCCAGCAAATCCTGCTGATCTTTCTCTTTAAAATAGATAATATGTAAGGGTTTAACTGCAGGTTACACCCCTTTGGTCCCCTTTAGAATTGTAAAATCTCAGACTGTGTAGGATTTTTTTTTTCTGTCTCCTTTCTGAGAGGTTGGCAATTTTTGCAGGAAGGAAAGGCAGGATCCTTATGTGTTGCAGGGTTTTATAGTCCCATTGCATTTTTGGGGTTGGCACAGGTTTGGGCATTGCTTTGGAGTGCTGCTGAACTTTCATTGAAGGGCTGTGGAACTAATGAATGAACTGGCGGCTACTAATGGACATCTGTACGTTTTGCTGAAATGAGAAATTGGGCTCGCCGAACACTGTAACATCTTTGGAGGGAGTCAGATTTGACTGCTTTCTTACTCGGAGGTCGTAAAAAGCAGGGGAAAATGCTTCATTTCTAGTGAAAGCTTCAGTCACTTTCTTGCCTTGTCCACTGGTTCGTTCTGATTTGTCTGCTGTACAAGCAGCACACTCCTCCAGGCTTTACTTTGGTGTATGTGCTCCTTATTCATGTAATTATTTGCCCCTAGTAGATGGGATTTCACATTCTTTTTACATGGAAATCTCAAGTGTTCTACGTGGAAATAAAGACTAATTGACAAGATTTGCATCTCTACAATATCTTAAATTTCTCTGCTTACAGGAAAAAATACATTCAGAGGAAGAAGTATCTTTGATATTTTAAAGTAGGAAAAATGAGAAGAGGGAAGTAAAGCACAGAACCATGATCAAACTCTCATCAGTTTCTCTGAGCAGTTGTGCCTTCTGCTTAAGGGATGGACATGGAAAAGTATGACTTAAGTAGAGAATGAATTATATGACTTTAACAGTTTAATAAATGTCATTATTTGCGCATTTAAATTTAAACGGTTAAGCCCTACCTGTACCCTCAGGCTATGACTTTTACTTCAAGTGAAGTTTTCAAATCTAAAGGAAAGGAAACATCTGGGGTATCATCTGGCCAAAAGGTCATATGAGTTGCAATGTAGTAAGTCATGACAATACATCCGATTGTTTTATTACATGTATGAATAATATATATTGCTTTGTCTATGTATTTGCCATTATATTTTTCAAGGTATAATTAAACCACGAATCATGCTGCAGAAATATAAGGATGACTGATTAGTCAGGTAGTCCATATAAAACTGAAAGATACCTGTATTATACCTTAATAATTGTTAGTATATCAAGTAAGATAAATATGAATGTGTCCCTTAATGTCTTTTGCATATTATCTATATTCTGTACTAGGGTTCTATGTAACTGTCATGCCATGGCATAACATTAAAACTGCCTCATCCAATGATGAGGAAATATTCTTTGCAAGGCAGAGGCAGGTTTGCCCATCATCATCTTGGGGAGAGTGAGTGGTATTGAAAGTTAGGACAAGGTTCCTTCTTTTTATTTTATTTTTTTTTCTTATTTAGTGTGTATGTCCACATATCTCATAGATGTCCACACATATTGGTACAGAAGACTGATACTTGTGAATAAGGGCTGATTTTTTATGTATTAGTCAAATTTGTTTCCAACTTTGAGACATGATAGAGTGCAAGATGCCGATGTGAATGAATTTCTGTTGCTGTGGCTTATTCCTGTATGGGGATTTGAAGTAAGCTTGGGAAGTATAAGGCACAGTTTTAGTGTGTGGAGTGTGTGTTACAGAATAGGCCAAAGGAAGCATTTATGGGTGGCTTTTTTTTTTTTTTTTTTTTTTTTTTNTTTTTTTTTTTTTTTTTTTTTTTTTTTGTTCGTTTGTTTTAGGAAAGGACAGTCCCACTGAAGATGTTTATAGCAGTACAAAAAAGACTTGAGGTCTAGACTGTTGGGTACCTGCCCTCCTTTTGAATTGCCTGCTCACTTATCTAGATACATGGCTCTTTGTGAAAGCAGTCAATGCTTCTTGGCCAGTAAAACACATTCTTTGTGGCCAAAAGGCCCACAAAGCTAATTTTATAATTAATGACGATCTGGGTGCTAGAACATCAAAGTGGCAGCGAAACCTTGAAGCAATTACTACTAACACAGCCAGATGAAGACAAGGCTTCCATATTTGAAGACATAATTCATCTTTAAAGCAGTACCATTTCATTATTTTAACTATTATTATTATTATTATTTTTACTATTTGCCTTGAAAGAGAAATGAGGCATTTGGTGCATTTTTGCACTTTTGACAGGAATCTCAGAAAACAACCACATTCAGCCTCTATTTACAAGTTTTGTATAAGTTTGTCAGATCAAGACAGCTAAAGTAAACATGACAAATGTCATTCTGTAGTGCTTAATACCTTTAATCCTTAAAGCAGAAACCAGGAAACCCTCACTCGTGCTGGTATTTGAAACCTGTAAGCAATCTCATGTTTCTAATGCTGATTTTCTTTTTATTCCACAAAGAAAACAGTATCAAGGCCTTTTTCCTGGGATATTACTTGAGGCTATTCAGGGGAAAAAAAAAAAAAAAAAAAACCAGGAAATTTGTCTCTTTACCCTAATAACAGTTCATTTATTGAAAGGAGACTTGTTTTTTTTGTTAAACAGATTTTCTTATGAAAGGGTTAGAAGTGAATAAATGTCAAGTTCAAGCTCATCTGATTTCTTTTGATTTATGTTGACCTTGAAAAAGAAAAGGTCATACTGTTGGCAGGCAATAAGAACTAATCTATTACTAAAGAAGTAATTAAAAGTGAGGCCTTATGTATTTTTGTAATTAGTTGACAGCAATTCCATCCCCATATCATAGAGTTGCTCTAATGAACCTGGTCATTGCATTTAGTTCCAAATGAGAAGTTTACAAGAAGTCAGATGAGAAACCCTGAAATGTGCTCTACTTTCAGATGTGCAGATGAATAGACTGACTGTATTGTAAAGGAAGAAAAACTTGCATAAAAACATGTCAAGATAGTGTGTGCAATTAGGAACATTAAATTCTTTTAATGAATTGGAGTCAATGCTTATTAGTACGTTCAACTGAAAAATGAAGAGATATAATCAGTTAAAAAGTACAACACTTTTGTCAACTGCAACCTTGTGAACTTAACTAGCATGACTTAGGACTGCTCTGATACAAGACATGACAATGTCGACTTCCATGTCACCAAATATTAAAATTAGATTACATTAGATTGCATTACATTAGATCCATTTTTCAAGACATGTGAAGAAGTCTGGATTTTGAATTCAGAGTAATTTTCTGAGTAGATTCAAGGTATGAATATTCCTGTAAGTACTGATTGCTTTGGCTTCAGTCCAGCAAATGCAGTGGCTTCAATGTCTTTAAGAGCAACCTGAAAGGCTGCACTTGAAGCCTTCATCCATACTGTTTACTGATAGGAATCCATGGAATTCAGGCTTCGATAGAATGGGGAAGAGAACACAAAGTTTGTTCTTCTTGAATCCCATATGGTCTTGAGATGACATTAAAAAAGCGACATTGGGAAGGCCAGATGCCCCTGGAACAGGGGAAAAGAAAATCACAGGTGATATATCCCACAGAATGATTCCACCATTGCCTGTCACGAAGAATAGCAGGATTTGTAAGCTGCTGAGCTTGCCTTAAGAACAAAACAGACCGGTGAGACTGGGTCGCAGGAGTCTCTGACCTAGGGTCATCTAGAGTCTCTGACCACCGCCTAGAATTACCTATCAGAGTGTAGCTACAACCTTAAACCATTGCTTAAGTATTTTTATTTTTCTAAGTAAGGGGCTTCTTACATAATGTGCTCTGAAGTTTAAGGCATATGTCAAATATTTTTCCAAATTTGAGAAAAAAATGGCAGGATTGAGTCTTTAGAAGTATTATTTTCTGTAAAAAGAGGCAGTTGGTAGGTGCTACAAGCAGATCATGAAAGTACTCAGCAGTAGGGCTGAAAGATTGCCTATTTTTTTCCAGTGCTACCAGTTGGTCTAATTGACCAACTATTGTGTCTATCAGTCATACACTGTAACAAGGGCATGAATGTAACTGTGAGGACTTTTTTAGCATCACTGTCAAAGCTGGAGTTACCCCTGCAGGTGTTTCAAAGAGCTGACGAGTACTCATGTTGACAGGTTTTCTGCCAAGTTTGAATAAAATACAATTGTAGCTCATTGTCAATTCTGTTCATTATGTTTTTTTTTGTTGTGTGTGATAAAATCTACAGATATATGTGAGATCAGTGTCATTTGCACTGTCATGCAAAAGATATTTCCTGCAAGCTACAAGAGCACAATTCCCTGTCTCAGCATTTGCTTGGGTCTGAAACTACACTGGAACTATTTGTGAATGGTGATTCTGCCTAACAGATGGTAGTATATAAAGGCGGCTGAGAGACCATGTATAAGCATCATGTGTTTGTGGGAGCATGAGTTGTAGCCAGAAATGTCTATAAAGAATCTGCCCTAAGCTTTCTGGTCTAAGATTAAGCAGACATGTCATTTCTAATCTAGTTTTGGGATAAATTTCTAAAGAATTAAAAAAAGAATGTTTCTGCAGCTGTTTGAGAGGGGGAAAAAAAAAGCTAAAGAATAATTCAGCAGTGTGGATCAGGGAACTTGAATAGGTTTTTCTTTTTTTTTCCTCCCCTAAAACTACATATTTGTATTTCCTAGTCAGACCTCTGGACCCCAGCCAGCTTTCTGCTGAGCTGGTTGGCAGGACACAGGAGTTGGATATGCAAGAGTCTGAACAATCTGCTGCTTTCCATGGCCTCCCCCAGGTATGGTGTTTCTGATGCACAAAGCCATTAGTGACCAGTTTACAGAAAACATAGCGTTTTGTTTCATAGTTTTTATTTGTTGTTCCATTTCCTGTCTCATTCCTAGTTAACCTCTGCTCTTGCTAGTTCAGACATAGTATCAAAGTGGATTTGGAAATGAACTTCATATGGATGAGAATGAATTGTAAATTTTACATGCTATATCCAATATCACATAAAAAAATCTTATAATTATTTTTTAACAAGCAGAATGTTCTTATTAATCTACTAAGTTTTAATAACAGAACATTTTCCCCCTCCCTCTTCCAATATATTTTTCCATAGGAATCATCCTCAGAAATAATCACGAGCTCAATGTTTAGTCACATAGTCTTCTAGGCACTGTCTTTTCATAGCAAGGATAAAGCCTGTAATGGATTAGGGAACTCATGTTTTGTTCCTTACTTGAAGTGCTTTCCTGAGATAAATACATGTCAGCAGCTGGATGACTATTTGCAGTGCCAGAAAATCATCTTGAGTTAGATGGAAGGGAACGTTTTGAGAGGTGCCACGATGGGAGGAGATATGCAGAGGGAAGCTCTCAGAATATGACCGGAAGCTAGAGCAACTACACTTAACAAGTAGAATTGTCTTCAGGTATTCCTTTTTTGTAGTGATGAAGGAAGTTTGTTTGTAAGTTGGTGTTACAGCTTTATGAATCTCTGTTTACTTTAGAGATTGCTTAAGGCCTGAAGCAGGTTGTGTAATGTTCTGTCCACACAGTTTTGTTAGTGTTATGCTACAGAATTGTTACTAGCTGCAGAAACACCTAACTGCTTTTTCATCAGACTAATTTCAATTTCATCATCCTTCTACAGGAAACAGTTCCCAAATGTCATTAGTCATTGCATGAAGAAGTATTTCTTTTTGTGGTGTTTGAATTACTGAGATTTCAAGGATTATTTAAAATATTTGTATATTTTATTGAAATATTTTTTCTTATGTTACAAAACATGATACAAAATCCCTGGGAATATTTTGTTTTATCATGTTTTCTCTTATTCTGCTTTCAAAGACAGAAATTCCTAATCTTTTCTAACTCTTTTTGTAGCAATTTTTTTCTAGGCCTGTGCTCATATTCTTTACCTTTTGAATTTGTGATTTCTTATTTCTTTTAAAAGTCTGTGCCTCTTTGTCCCTTTCTTTCACTGTTTGTTATTGTGCAGGACCCATTGAGACAGAAACTCAATATATTTTAGATGAGACTTTGCTTCATTTTCCTATCAAGATTGTGTATTTGTCTCATTTCATCTACATCCTAGTTACTGATCTGCAATGTCTTACGAGAACTGTGTGCAGTGAACCAAAGCCCCTTTCTCAAAGAGTTACTTTGAATTTAGAACTTTGTATGTACAAAATAATCAAATGTGAAGAATTTATATTTTTCTTTCAGAGAATATTACATGTACACATTAAAATAGAAATAGTTTTATTTCATATTGTCAGACAGTTGAGCATTTTCAAGGTAAAAGAAAAGGACCTTGAATTTTGCCATCGACCAACAAAATTGGAGAGAGGAGAGGATGGATGTGATGTTTTATAGTGGCTTATGAAGTTCATAAAATATATTGTAACACTTTGTATAGTTAGAGCTTAAAAAAAAATAGTGTCGTACTAAATATACAGGACAGGAAAGAAAGTGAGCTTATGTGACTTTCAAAGCGTGGGCTGTAATGGTGAGCTCGTTGCTTGTCACTATTTATTGCTGGATGTCTTCTATTAGAAGACTATTCATTTTAAGATTACCTGAGCTACTGTAGTCTTTCTTGGATGAGGCAGTAGTATATTGCATTAAGCTGTACAGAAGCCTTTGTACTTTTATAGGAAAAGATGACTGTAAGGATGATGGAGCACTGGAACAGGTTGCCTGGAGAGGTTGTGGAGTCTCCTTCTTTGGAGATATTCAAAACTTGCCTGGACACGATCCTGTGCAATATGATCTAGGTGACCCTGCCTGTGCAGGGATATTGGACTAGATAATTGCCAACGGTCCCTTCCAACTTCACTCATTCTGTGCTTCTGAGATCTTCCTTACCACTAAAATAGCATTTACTGTAATTGATCTTTAAACCAGTTTGTTTTCTGTCTAGGATGTAATTCAATTAGATGAGTCTGGAGGTGGTCTAGAACTAACTTTCTTAAGGTTTGGGCTACTGTATCACGGGATGTATTTTTGGTGTATTGCTTTGACTGCTGTATGTTTGAAGGCTGAAGGAAGATATGACTAACACTACTTATTCTTGGCTCTGCTTTTTTAAATGAGAAAAGACATGGATTAGATTCATGGTTCTTGCATCACAACAGCTTTATAGTGCTATATGCAACTGTATAGGAAGCTGTGGCTCTTTAGATTCATTAGATTCATGTCTGGTCAGTGCCATGGACAGAATACTTAACAACTTCACTAGAGTCTACTGAGAAATTTTCTTTGGCTTGTGATACAGAACAAATTAAACACATTGAAAAATGCATTTTATTTTATTGCATCCATTTTGGCTCTCATTTTCTGTCATTAGCATTTGAATATATACCTTTGTCTTCTGCTGTCATGCATGTATATGTGTGATGAAGAAGAAGGGAACATTTATTAGCCAGTTTGTCATGGCTAATATACAATACTAATGATTTACCAAATCACTGAATCCTTTTTCAGAGTCCAAATTTAAAATAGGACCTCCTGTGGCTTCTTCTCACCTAATATTTACATAGTTTGATGGTCTCCATTTTAATGTTTAAAGGCCTGAGAAAGACTAAGAAGTAGCTGTGGCAAAATAAATCAGATTTGAAAGGCTTCAAGGGTTGGACTAGAAATGACTTATGAATGTAAGAGGGGGAAAATCCACTTTGGGCTTTGGTATCTGGCTTTTATAATACATGTGTTAAATCCTCTCAGAATGAGAGATACCTAAGGAATATCCCCATTAAACTACCATTATCTCATCTCTAGATTTTTTTATTATTATTATTTTATGGTTGTCTGTAATTTAATGTGAGTTTATGTTAAATTTGTTTTTGACTAAATTAATAAAATATTGTTTATCTTATGGAAGGGGCCTGTCTTTTTAAATGTGATTTTTGTGGAGAAGAGAGAGAGTCTGTTGGGAGATGTCTTGTCCTGCCTGTGTGGGATGGGGAATAGACTGGTTAGTACGAGGCTTGAATTGTCATCTAGCTGGATCTCAGGGATGCAAGTTACAGTAGGTGATTAGTTGCTAATGAGTCAAATGTTGTTTGCTGGTGGAAGATCTTCCATTGATCATCATCAATTTTATTTCATATCTGTTTCTCTTTTGAACTTGTTTCCCTTTCTAATCTTCCTTTTCTGACTTATTCATGAAGTAAATTATCTCAATTTTTCTGGGCTTTCTATCTAACTCAATTTGCTAATACCTTGTCTTTGGCATAGCATTTATCCCTTTAGATGTTATCTCACCGTTTACTGTTGACTGTAAATAAACTATCATCTCTTCTAGTTAATGGCTGAGATCTTCTATTGCCTTTAAGTAGCACATATGAAATAACTCAACAAAAGTGCACCTGCTTGAAACTATTTGTTTCAAATTGCAATTGCTTCATCTCAGAAGTGAGAGCATTTCTCACTAGAAGGCGGTTGGTTATTGTTGTGAATGTCTCATTAGAAATTAATTCCTGCTTCACCCTAAATAACTAGTACTTTATAATGATTTTGCAAGACTATGTGAAGAAATGAGAGTCAGGGCAGGTAGACTGGGGAGGTGCCTAATTGGAAATACATCAGTGGGACTTCAAGGAGCTTGCTGTTGTGTAAAGGAACCATATGTTTGAATACTTTGGCTCAGTTCCAAAACTATTACAATACAGCAATGGACAAACATTGAAATTTCAGTATCATGCAATATATTTGCTTGGAAGCTGTTAAGATAAATTAAAACTGATTTTGAATCATTCTTGATTGCACGTGTATCTATCTTCTCATTGTAACCACTCTTTGGTGAAGTTGTGGACAAGTTACTTCTCTGACTGAAAATTAAGAAGTGTTTTCAACCAGATCAGCTAACCTGATGTTCAGCAAAGTGGAATGAGTTGAAGTGAGGTATCTGACAGAGCTGCTACAGAAACTACAGAAAGGGATGGACCTGTCTCTTTTTCAATTTGCATAACACACTTGCTAAGCGAAAAGAAACACCCGTTTGATTGTCTGTTTTATGAGGGTGATTTAATTGTAGAGTTTCTCTGAAGGATTTAGGATGTTTTGATAACATTAATATTGCAATTTTTAAATCATCCTCTTTGTTTTCATGAGAGGTGCATTTCTTACCATATTTGTTCTGCTACAGGTAATTACTTACATGTCTCCTTTCATAAATCTCAATTCTTTACATTTGTAGTAAAACATAAAAAAGTAAATTCCATTACTTTTGTTTAATAAAGCTGTTTCCTGGGGTAGCATTGTTATTTCAAGTAACAGTGAGACTGAGAGTTTTTGTGAGATACTGCCTCAAATCATCACGTAACAATTGGGAGCCAGCCCGTCACTGTTTCTTACTTTTCCTATTGTGCCAAGATTAAATTGTTACCTGTCCCAGACAGAAAATGTATGCCAGTTTATGTCAGTTAAAGTGTCCCACTGCTGGAATCAGTTGTACTGCAAACAAGCATTTAACCAAAGGGGCCTAAGTGTTAAGTATGGTATGGAGTGTCAGAGTATGGAGTATGGAGTATTATGTTATAATACTGTTATGTTATAATACTGTTTTTTCATCTTTCAATGACAAAACTGTGAGCTCTATGGGATGCTTTAAAGATGAAGAATGTAGTTGTCACCAGTCACCTTTCCTATTTTAAAGATTTAAGGAATGTAATGATTTTTTTTTCCTCTAAGCTTCATTCTTGTGCTTTAAAATTTTTCTAGCTTGGACAAAGGGAAAGGCATAAGCAGAAAGTTAAGCCCTATTAGTATGAATAGCTTTAAAGCAGGGATGTAAATGTAGTGCCAAGAGGTGTCTTTCCTTGATTTTTGTAATTCAGCCATAGGAGTGCTTATGGAAAATCCCCTGGGTTGGGTCTGGAAAACGTTACTCTCTATTCTTCAGCCAGGCAATTAAGTCACCCTAGAAACCCCCAGATGACAGCAGTGTGCTTAACAGAATGCAAAATGCATTTCATAGACCTGGTTATTTTAATCCAGAGCAAGGTCATCAATGTGAATCTTTCCCCCTCATACAAAGATGATCATAAGTCATTGCACTGCAAAAAGCCTTTGCCATTTGTAGTTTTATTCAAATTCAGTTTCTTGTACATCTGTCCTCCTTCATACCAAACACTACAACAAAAATATTTTATTGGTAATATCTGCTCAGTTAGAAAAAGAAAAGCCTAGAAAAAATATGAGCCTGTTTTCATATCTGTTTTCTGACCCTCAGCAAGGTTAGCAAAGCATGTGAATTATTAGGCACTTGCTAGAACTAAAGCATCTTCTGGTATCCATTTAGCATCTCAATTCATGATAATCATTTGAAATAACTGGTAATAGAAATCAGCTGGAATGAAACTAGTAATTAATGATGTCTAAGTTTAAAGCTAAGAACTCCCTTAATCATGATTATTTTGATGATCTTTAAGTGAGAACACCAGTAAAGATGAATTACAATAATTTCATTATGTGGAAATATTGCAATATACTTGGATGTGTGCTTTTGTATAGTTCCTGGAATTTTTGCTAGGAGTCTCTTTTTTAAGAGTGTCCAATTTCTGACTGAGGCCACAGCATTCTTTGTGCATATAGTCAAGGGAACTAGTAAAGAACATTCAGAACTCTTTTGAGATGATTTCCAGTACCTTTAAATCTATTCTAAAGCTTTTCTTTTTTTTCTTTTTTTTTTTTTTTTTCCTTCTTTTCAAAAGGTAAAAGAAACTTCAGCTTTTTCCAACAGGAAGAGGGTAGCTGAGATCTGGAAGTCATGTCTGGAACATTCTGCAAGGAAAATAGGTACTACTAATTGAATGTCATGAATGAATAATTTGTTTTGGAGAAGGGTTTTGGAGATTGATGTTCTTAAGATGTGAACCTGAAACGACTGTTTCCTCTTAGTAATAGTGGAAGTTGTTCTGTCTAGGCAGAGAAATTACACAATTCTAGTCATCTCGTGTGGAAAAGATCATGACAAGTGTACAAAATGGAGTATCCTGTTATATTTTTAATTTGCTTTGCTTATGGGGCAGGCCAAAAAATTTTTCCTGTAAAATTAATTCAGAAATGTTACATATAGATCCCATATAGGTGATCTTTGTTCCATATTTTTTCCCAGTCATCTACTTTTCAGTCTTGTGTTCTTCAGTTTACATGATCTTTTTCACTTCATGTATCTTAATGTGCCCTTGTGGCCAAGAAGGCCAATGGGATCCTGGCCTGCATCAGAAATGTTGCCAGCAGGGGATCCTGCCCCTCTACTCGGCTCTAGTGAGGCTCCACCTGGAGTATTGGGTGTAGTTCTGGGCTCCCCAGTATAAGAGGGACATAGAACTTCTAGAGAGGGTGCAGCGGAGAGCGACAAAGATGATGAAGGGAATGGAGCATCTATTTTCTGAGGAAAGACCAAATGAGCTAGGCCTGTTTAGCCTGGAGACTAAGAGGAGATCTGATCAATATATTTAAAAACTGAGGGGAGAATGTAGTGAGGATGGGGCCAAATTCTTCTTGGTGGTGGCCAGCAATAGGACAAGGGGTAATGAGAGAAAATTGAAACACAGAAAGTTCTATCTGCATCTGAGGAAGAACTTCTTTACAGTGAGGGTGACAGAGCCCTGAAACGGACTGCTCAGAGAGGCTGTGGAATCTCCTTCTCTGGAGGTCTTCACAACCCACCTGGATTCCACATTGTGCCACATACTCTAGGCATCCCTGCCTGAGCAGGGGGATTGCACTAAATGATCTCTAGAGGTCTCTTCCAACCTCAACCATTTTGTGATCTTAAGGATTTTAGGACTATAGGACTAAGTTACAGGTTTTCTTCATTTTTTAAGTCAAATTTTTGTGCTGTATCTTTGGAAAGTATTTGAACTATGCTGATTTCCACACGTATTAGGAAATATGAAGAGAGCAGTTGATATAGGAACATGAAACATGCTACATCAACTTTGGAGACAGTTCTCTCACATACTAATAAATGACTATTTGATATTGTCTTGGTATTGGTTATCTCAAACTATTGTACAGCTCAGGAGCTTATAGATCAGTGAAAGAGCGAGCTTAAAGCTGTCTAGAATTATTTTTGTATCTTAATCTCAAAGAATTAACAGAAATAACATTTCTCAGCCCATGGTCCCATGGTTGGAACCTGCCTTGTCATCTACCCTTTGGCATCTATTTTGCTAAGAATGAGTCTTTGGTCTCAGAATATTGACTGTACCCACATCTCAAAGCAAGTTTATGCGTGTGAAAGCCTACAATGACCAGAGTTTCCAAGATATCAGTTGATGTCCTTTCCAGGTACTGATAGAGAGGATGCCCTGATCGTGTGTAAGAATAATTGCATGTCCTTATCACTATTTGGGCATTCCGGTTGAAACATATACTGTAGTTTTCCAAGAAGGAGGAGGATTGGGACTTAGGTATTGCTATGTCAGCTACAGTAGGTATTGCTATGTCAGCTTCAGTTCTTTACGTTCGTTGTGTATTTCTCAGCTTCCTTGGGTGTTACCCTGGCAGTGGTTAAGCACAGACAAGGTGTGTGTAGGTGAAATGCGGTACTGCTCCTAGTTTGAATACACTCACCATTAGAAGTGTGAGTGCAAACTGACTGCACTCAACGAGGGATGTGCAGTATAGCTAGTGTCTTGCTCCCTGGGTGTCACTTTCAAACTGATATACCAACATCAGTTGTGCAAGATTTTTTTTCAGTGACAGTATGTGGTGCTCTGGCAAATTCCCACTAATGATCTTGTTGGCAGCTACTAAGTAGTCTCTGGCTCTCTAATTCAGGAAAGCTTCTGATGGTCTTCTGATCTATATATTTCTCTGGAAGCAATTTCTTTTTATCTATCATTTGGTTCTGCAAATACACAATTGCTTTGTATTTATCTATTTGGTTCCAAATTCTGTATAAGTCTCTGAGTGCACACAGGTCCATTTTGCAGATGAAAAAAAAAATCATATGCCACAATTCCATGCTGTTACTTCTTTGATCTTCTATCATCCACTCATATAACATCTTTTATTTTTTGTTCATCCAAATATGAGAGCTCTGTATTCTCTGGAATCAATCTCTCTATGCTCCTTTCTTCCTCATTTAGGACATTTGAAAATGTTGAGCTACATTCTGGCTACTTTGGGGTACTGGTTTAAAGCCTCACTATTGTCCTTCCCCTTTTCCTGTGCTTCCAAAATATCAAACTAGATGTTCCTGTGATTTATAGGGCTAGGAGGAGTGGATCAGGGCATGCCAAGAGATACTCTTTCTCTCTGGAGAGTGGTAACAGGATCAAGCCTTGTAGTATGCACCTGTTTAGCAAGATGTGAGTTGCTGCATTTGGATATCCTTTTTCAGGAGACAATGTGTCCTCCCCTTCTTGGCACAGGCAGTGCAAACACAAAACTAACTGCCCTTCTCTCAAGTGCTGATATTTATACAGATCTGTTGGCAGCCACTGCTCCGCATGGTGCTTATATCTGCCATTACAAAAACAATTTCTGTGTGGCCATCTGCTCCTTAAGAACACATGTGATTAAACCCCCAAAACTTGTAACTGAATGGAAATAATTTTAAGTTATATGTAGGGAAAGATGGGAATGTCATGAAGGCCTAAAATCTGTATTAGGCATAAGTTTCTGATTGCTGGAATAAATTTATCTTGGTCCAGAACACAGTTCCCTCTCTTTTCCAGTATTTGACTTTTAGGAATGAAGTGAATGAAGAGAAATTTTACATAGTCTGTATTTACCATTGCATATTGACAAACACTGTCATCAAAAACCTTCTATATTGTTATATTTTCTGTTCTGGATATTTTCTATTCCAATTCTGCAGCCATTGTACCAAAAAGTCTCCCACAAAGCATAAAGAGGTCTTAAGTGCTGAGAAGGGAACTCCCTCCAAATACAGTTTCAGGGCTAACCTTTGGACCAGAGTCGGTTGAGTTATTCTTCCCTAAGTTCTCTGAAGTGGCTGTGGCCACTTCTGAAGTGCCAAGTGGCTTCTTGGTTGAAGCTGAGAGTGGAATTTGGACTCAGATTCCCGCTGAGTGTTGTCAGATTTAGCATGTCAATAGCAAGAGATGGAATTCCTTCTATATTTTCTCTGTTTTGTCTACAGAGGAAAAAGGGATCACGTGTTCTCAAATTGGGAGAACATACAGGAGAAAATGGATATAAAACCAGAACTTTCTTTGAAATCTAGTGTTTAGTAGAAATTACTGCATATCTCAGACTTCATATTTAGTGAAGTCATGCAATGCCATCCCAACGTTTTTACAGTTCATATATTCCTGCTGTTGACTTTCCACCTGCACATAACAGAAATAGTGATGTCCATCAGCTTTTTTGAATTTCAGACATGCTACAGCCAAAAAGCAGATCTTTCATCAATCACTGAATAACTACAGTCCTTAGCAAGTCACTGGGTAAAGTGATACAGTTTAATGTGATGCTGTCATTAAAATCCCTGTATTTATAGCAGTTGGTCTCCCAAAGAAAATTTAGGTTGTCATTTTCTTTCTCCCTCTGCTACCTCCTTTTTCCTTCCCTGCATCACGTTATCAGTATTAGCACTCAAGTAGGTTTATTCAAATTGAGTGTACTTTGGTGAAATCCTGGGCTTCTTATGAGGCAGCAGAAGCGTAGGCTATTAAGATTTGTCCCGTGGTGAAATAAGCTGAAGAGAATCTAGTCATCAAGCTTCCAGCTGTATCTGCTTTTGCAGCCTGTCTAGACAAGAGTGCTGTGTGTGCTTGTGTGCTTTGAACTGGTGATTGCAAACACTGTGCAGATCCTGTGGCTGCAGCTCAGCACACCACTCTAAATAGCACACTGCGGGACAAATGCCTTATACTTTGGTGCTGACTGAACATTATGTAAATCTGCAGTCATTGCATAAAAAAAACCCAGCACTTTCTCTAGGTAATTAGGAATCTTTTTAACAATTTTCTTCCCCCACCAAACTGATGCTTTTCATATATTTGGCTGGATATCAGCAATGCCTGCCAAGACAGATTACTGGAAATTAATTATTTGGAGTTTGATCCTAAAATTTTGACACACTTATTCAGTAATTCTGTTGAAACCAATGGGATTGATTGACTCAGTATAATTTGAAGTGAGGTCCTTGCTTTGTAAACTTCTGTTGTTCCATGTGATGAAGAGCTTCATCACTTCTTCAAACTTTAGATTTAAATCATGGCCTGAGAACATTCAAGGGCATAGAATTTCATACTCTCAGGTCCATATTAAAAAACAGTAATGAACAGCAAGAAAACCTCTTATTGACTTAATCTTTTGATTTCTAGTCACATACAATTGCTGTTTCACATATGCACAGACCAGCTGCTTTTGTGTACTTCGAAGTACAGATAGTACCAGTTAATTGGAATGAGTACAAGGAAATTTTAACACATATCTGTGGAGCTGTTATGTACAGCGGATTTACCCCTCTCCATGAAGGAAGCTTCTGATTCAGACTAGCTTAAGTAACTGTTTACACGTGAAGCTATCTCCAAAATACCTTGTTTCCATTAAGAGCAATAACATTTGGTAATAGATGTTTTGGGAATCCCTAAATGCAATTCTATGTACACTGCACTCAGTCACAGCACCATTTGTTTTTCTGAAGCAATAAGAATGTGTATGTACTCTACTACTAACATGGCAAGCTGTAAAGTGAGAATCAAATGTTCCTGTGATCATAGTGTGGGAGTGCAACTAATGGTTTAAGTATATATTAATTAGTAGTTATCTTGGCTTAAATTAAAATTTTTATCTTCAAAATGTAATGAAGT